AGAGGATAGTCCGTAGGGCAATCCTGTTGTTGTTGTTGTTGACGACCTCATGGTACATAGCACTGATCCAGTCATTTATTATTATTGTAGTTGTTGTAGTAGTTAGGATTAGTATCCTATTTTATTCCACAGCGTAGTTGCACCCTAGAGGATGGTCCATAGGGCAATCCTGTTCTTGCTGTTGTTGTTGTTGACGACCTCATGGTACATAGCATGATCCAGTCATTTATTATTATTGTAGTTGTTGTTGTTAGGATTAGTATCCTATTTTATTCCTCAGTGTAGATGCACCCTAGAGGATAGTCCGTAGGGCAATCCTGTTGTTGTTGTTGTTGACGACCTCATGGTACATAGCACGATCCAGTCATTTATTATTATTGTAGTTGTTGTAGTAGTTAGGATTAGTATCCTATTTTATTCCACAGCGTAGTTGCACCCTAGAGGATGGTCCATAGGGCAATCCTGTTCTTGCTGTTGTTGTTGTTGACGACCTCATGGTACATAGCATGATCCAGTCATTTATTATTATTGTAGTTGTTGTTGTTAGGATTAGTATCCTATTTTATTCCTCAGTGTAGATGCACCCTAGAGGATAGTCCGTAGGGCAATCCTGTTGTTGTTGTTGTTGACGACCTCATGGTACATAGCACGATCCAGTCATTTATTATTATTGTAGTTGTTGTAGTAGTTAGGATTAGTATCCTATTTTATTCCACAGCGTAGTTGCACCCTAGAGGATGGTCCGTAGGGCAATCCTGTTCTTGCTGTTGTTGTTGTTGACGACCTCATGGTACATAGCATGATCCAGTCATTTATTATTATTGTAGTTGTTGTTGTTAGGATTAGTATCCTATTTTATTCCTCAGTGTAGATGCACCCTAGAGGATAGTCCGTAGGGCAATCCTGTTGTTGTTGTTGTTGACGACCTCATGGTACATAGCACGATCCAGTCATTTATTATTATTGTAGTTGTTGTAGTAGTTAGGATTAGTATCCTATTTTATTCCACAGCGTAGTTGCACCCTAGAGGATGGTCCATAGGGCAATCCTGTTCTTGCTGTTGTTGTTGTTGACGACCTCATGGTACATAGCATGATCCAGTCATTTATTATTATTGTAGTTGTTGTTGTTAGGATTAGTATCCTATTTTATTCCTCAGTGTAGATGCACCCTAGAGGATAGTCCGTAGGGCAATCCTGTTGTTGTTGTTGTTGACGACCTCATGGTACATAGCATGATCCAGTCATTTATTATTATTGTAGTTGTTGTAGTAGTTAGGATTAGTATCCTATTTTATTCCACAGCGTAGTTGCACCCTAGAGGATGGTCCATAGGGCAATCCTGTTCTTGCTGTTGTTGTTGTTGACGACCTCATGGTACATAGCATGATCCAGTCATTTATTATTATTGTAGTTGTTGTTGTTAGGATTAGTATCCTATTTTATTCCTCAGTGTAGATGCACCCTAGAGGATAGTCCGTAGGGCAATCCTGTTGTTGTTGTTGTTGACGACCTCATGGTACATAGCACGATCCAGTCATTTATTATTATTGTAGTTGTTGTAGTAGTTAGGATTAGTATCTTATTTTATTCCACAGTGTAGATGCACCCTAGAGGATAGTCCGTAGGGCAATCCTGTTGTTGCTGTTGTTGTTGTTGACGACCTCATGGTACATAGCGCGATCCAGTCATTTATTATTATTGTAGTAGTAGTAGTAGTTGTTGTTAGGATTAGTATCCTATTTTTTTCCACAGTGTAGATGCACCCTAGAGGATGGTCTGTAGGGCAATCCTGTTGTTGTTGTTGTTGTTGTTGACGACCTCATGGTACATAGTGCGATCCAGTCATTTATTATTATTGTAGTAGTAGTTGTAGTTAGGATTAGTATCCTATTTTATTCCACAGTGTAGATGCACCCTAGAGGATGGTCCATAGGGCAATCCTGTTGTTGTTGTTGTTGTTGTTGTTGTTGTTGTTGTTGTTGTTGACGGCTTCATGGTATATAGCGCGATCCAGTCATTTATTATTATTGTAGTAGTAGTAGTTGTAGTTAGGATTAGTATCCTATTTTATTCCACAGTGTAGATGCACCCTAGAGGATGGTCCATAGGGCAATCCTGTTGTTGTTGTTGTTGTTGTTGTTGACGACCTCATGGTACATAGCGCGATCCAGTCATTTATTATTATTGTAGTTGTTGTAGTAGTTAGGATTAGTATCTTATTTTATTCCACAGTGTAGATGCACCCTAGAGGATGGTCCGTAGGGCAATCCTGTTGTTGTTGTTGTTGTTGTTGACGACCTCATGGTACATAGCGCGATCCAGTCATTTGCTGTTGTTGTTGTTAGGATTAGTATCCTATTTTATTCCATAGTGTAGATGCACCCTAGCCTATGGTCCGTAGGACAATCCTGTTGTTGTTGTTGTTGTTGTTGTTGACGACCTCATGGTACATAGCGCGATCCAGTCATTTGTTGTTGTTGTTGTTGTTGTTGTTAGGATTAGTATCCTATTTTATTCCACAGTGTAGATGCACCCTAGCGGATGGTCCATAGGGCAATCCTGTTGTTGTTGTTGTTGTTGTTGTTGTTGTTGTTGTTGTTGTTGACGGCTTCATGGTATGTAGCGCGATCCAGTCATTTATTATTATTGTAGTTGTTGTAGTAGTTAGGATTAGTATCCTATTTTATTCCATAGTGTAGATGCACCCTAGCGGATGGTCCATAGGGCAATCCTGTTGTTGTTGTTGTTGTTGTTGATGATGACGATTTGCACACTGTTTCATTCCATAGCGAAGATGTTCTCCTAGAACGGAGCGGCTGCTTGTCTCTCCAATGTTCTCCGAACCCTTTTCCTTGCTTGTGGCTCATGGCCGAACCCGACAAGTCCATTCATATTTTATCACATGCGCAGCTGAAATCAAAGCGCATTTTCCGCCTCCGGGCGCATGGCTAACCTACTTCTCTGCGAATGCGGAAAAAATCAAGGCTGGCAAAGGGAGGGAAGGAGGGAGAAGGAGAGGGAATGCGCGCTTCCACGATCATCTCCTCCGCGGCTATGAATGCAGATCTGCCCTTTTGGTCCTTTCCCATCTGGCCAAAGCTGGACCCAACTGGACCTTTGGAGGCGTGTTTGTTGGTTTGTTTGGGTCACTTGAGGGGTGCGTACATCTGCACTGTAGAGTGAAGGCAGGTCGGCACCACTACAAATCCCATTATCCCATAGCATTGTACCATCGATGGCCTCTGGTCCATTTTCAGTGGTCAGCTGGTCACTATTGCTGCAAACACAATCCAGAAATGGTGCAAATTACAAGCACCAGCATTTATTTACGTAGGGATTCAACCTCTGGAGGCTGGATGGCCATCTGTCAGGAGGGCTTTGATTGTGCTTTTCTTGCATGAAGGAAGAAGGGGGTTGGACTAGATGCCCTCTGGGTGCCTCCCCCCCAACTCTAGCAATATAGAGACTCCCTGCAAGTCCTTGTTTCTCTGGAGGTTTTTAAAACAGAGGCTGATGGGGGATTATGGGACCTGCAGTCCCTAAACACCCTGATTTATATCATAGGAATTATGGGACCTGCAGTCTTAAAAACTTATTTATATCACGGAGATTATGGGACCTGCAGTTCCCAACGCTAGCATTTATCATGAGGATACTGGGACCTGCAGTCTCAAAAGCTAATTTATATCATGGGATTATGGGACCTGCAGTCCCCAAAAATCATAGCATATACCATGGGAATTCTGGGATCTGCAGACCTCCAAAAATTAACTTGGATCATGAGATTCTGGGATCTGCAGTCCCAAACAACCAGTAAGTTATATCATGGGATTTTGGGACCTGCAGTCCCCAAAAATCCTAGCATATATCATGGGGCTTCTGGGACCTACACACCTCCAAAAAGACTATCTTGTATCATGTGGATTCTGTGATCTGCAGTCCCCAAACCCCACTAATTTATATCATGGGGATTATTCTGGGACTTGTAGTCCCCCCAAATGAACATATATCATGGGAATTGTGGGACGTGTAGTCCCCCAAAACTCTTAATTCATATAATGAGGATTCTGGGACCTGTAGTCCTCCCAAAACTAACATATATAGTGGGGATTGTGGGACCTATAGTATCCTAAAACCCTAATGGATATAATGGGGCCGTGGTCCCCAAAAACTAACATATATCATGGGGATTCTGGGACCTGTAGTTTCCCCCCCCAAACCAACATATATCATGGAGATTGTGGGACCTGCAGTACCCCCAAACCCCTAATTTATATAACGGGGATTGTGGGACCTGTAGTTCCCTCCAAAACTAACATATATCATGGAGATTGTGGGACCTGCAGTACCCCAAAACCCATTTATATAATGGGGATTCTGGGACTTATAGCCCTCCAAAAACCTAACATTTATCATGGGGATTGTGGTACCTGCAGTACCCCAAAACCCCTAATTTATATAATGGGAATTCTGGTACTTGTAGTCCCCCCAAAACTAACATATATCGTGGGAATTGTGGGATGTGTAGTCCCCCAAAACCCTTAATTGATATAATGGGGATTGTGGGACTTGTAGTTCCCCCCAAAACTAACATATATCATGGTATTATGGGGCATGCTGTCCCAAAAAAACCAATTTGTGTCATGGGGATAATGGGAACTGTAGTCCAAATATTATAATCATTATGGGGATTCTGGGACTTGTAGTCCCCCCAAAACTAACATATATCATGGGGATTGTGGGACTTGCAGTACCCCAAAACCCCTAATGGATATAATGGGCATTCTGGGACCTGTAGTCCCCCCAAAACTAACATATATCATGGGGATTGTGGGACGTGTAATCCCCCAAAAACTCTTAATTCATATCATGGGGATTGTGGGACCTGCAGTCCTCTCCCTGACTCCCCCTCCCCTCCCGCCTGCGGGGTTGCCATAGCAACCGGCGCCGAATGGCAACGCGTCTTCCATCTCGCGCTGTCTCCCTGTGCGCATGCGCAGAAGGGCCCTCCCTCCCCTCTCCCTTCTGAAGGGGTTCTCCGTGTCTTCCTTCGTCTCGTGTGAAGGAATGAAAGCGGGTCGAGGAGGAAGGAGGAGAAAGAAGGAAGGAAGAGCCGGGCCCGAGAGTGAGAAGCCACAGAGAAGAAGAAGAAGAAGAAGAAGCGGGGATTTTTTTTTAGAAAAAGAAGACACGTGTCGGGCTATTCCGACGTGACGCGGAGAGTGGGCGGCTCCTGCTCCTCAGCCTTGCCTCAGAAGACGCTCTGGGGACGCCGACACGTGTCGAGAAGAAGAAGCGGGGATTTTTTTTTAGAAAAAGAAGACACGTGTCGGGCTATTCCGACGTGACGCGGAGAGTGGGCGGCTCCTGCACTGAGGCCTTGCCTCATAGGACGCTCTGGGGACCCCGACACTTGCCGAGAAGAAGAAGCGGGGATTTTTTTAGAAAAACAAGACACGTGTCGGGCTATTCCGACGTGACGCGGAGAGTGGGCGGCTCCTGCACTGAGGCCTTGCCTCCGAAGACGCTCTAGGGACGCCGACGACACGTAGGTTGGCCGAACTCGCGTGTCTTCTGTTCCATTTGGGCACCTGTTTGTTTTGTCTCGGCTCTCTAGACACGTGTCTGCGCGTCTCTTCGTTAGGACGCGCCAGACACGTGTTTGACCCGCATTCCCTCTTGCCCAGCTAGGATTCCTCCATTCTATGTTTTGTCTCGGTTCTCTAGACAGGTGTCTGGACATCTCTTCGTCAGGATGGGCCAGACACGTGTTTGACTCGGATTTCTTCATTCCTTTTGCCCCAAGCCTGGTCCAACTTGGGCCCTCCCTCCAGGTGTTTTGGACTACAACTCCCACACCGGCTGCTAGGAATTGTGGGAGTTGGAGTCCAAAACACCTGGAGGGAGAGCCCAAGTTGGACCACGTTTGCTCTGGAATCAATGGATCTATCTGTGTATAGATAGATAGGTAGATAGATAGATGAATAGATAGATAGATAGATAGATAGATAGATAGATAGATGAATACGTAGAGATGATCAATAGATGGATGGATGGATGGATGGATGGATAGATAGATAGATGAATAGATAGATAGATAGATAGATAGATAGATAGATAGATAGACAGCTGAATACATAGAGATGATCAATAGATGGATGGATGGATGGATAGATAGCTGGATGGATAGATAGATGGATAGATAGATAGATAGCTGAATACATAGAGATGATCAATAGATGGATGGATGGATGGATGGATGGATGAATAGATAGATAGATAGATAGATAGATAGATAGATAGATAGACAGCTGAATACATAGAGATGATCAATAGATGGATGGATGGATGGATGAATAGATAGATAGATAGATAGATGATAGATAGATAGATAGATAGATAGATAGATAGATAGATAGACAGCTGAATACATAGAGATGATCAATAGATGGATGGATGAATAGATAGATAGATAGATAGAGAGAGAGAGAGAGACAGCTGAATACATAGAGATGATCAATAGATGGATGGATGAATAGATAGATAGATGAATAGATAGATAACTGAATACATAGAGATGATCAATAGATGGATGGAAGGAAGGCACAGTCCGATCCCTCCCAGCAGATGGCCATCCAGCTTCTATTTAAAGATATCCAGATTGATGGATGGATGAATAGATAGATAGATAGATAGATAGATAGATAGATAGATAGATAGATGAATAGATAGATAGATGAATAGATAGATAGATGAATAGATAGATAAATAGACAGCTGAATACATAGAGATGATCAATAGATGGATGGATGGATGAATAGATAGATAGATAGATAGATGAATAGATAGATGAATAGATAGATAAATAGACAGCTGAATACATAGAGATGATCAATAGATGGATGGATGAATAGATAGATAGGTAGATGAATAGATAGATAGATAGATAGATAGCTGAATACATAGAGATGATCAATGGATGGATAGATAGATAGACAGCCAGCCAGCTGAATACATAGAGATGATCAGTAGATGGATGGAAAGATAGATATAAACAAGGTTGGTCTAGATGGCCCTTGGGGTCCCTTCCAAAAGTCCTAGAAGTCTATGATGGATGGACGGACAGACGGACGGGCAGACAGACAGAGCCCTTGGGGTCCCTTCCAACTCTAAGATTGAATGATTGATTGATTGATATATAGGTGATAGATAGACGGATCAATAGACCGATAGAGATGAGGGATAGAGAAATACCTGGATAGAAGTCTATGATTGATGGATGGACGGACGGACGGACGGACAGAGCCCTTGGGGTCCCTTCCAACTCTAAGATTCTATGATTGAATGATTGATAGAAAGATAGATGAATAGATAGACTGATAGATAGGGATGATGGATAGATAAATAGCTGGATAGATAGATAGATAGATAGATAGATAGATAGATAGATAGATAGATAGATAGATAGATAGATAGAAACAAGGTTGGTCTGGATGGCCCTTGGTCCCTTCCAAAAGTCCTAGATGGATGGATGGACGGACAGAGTCTTTGGGGTCCCTTCCAACTCTAAGACTGATTGATTGATTGGTATATAGATGAATAGATAGATGGATCAATAGACCAATAGAGATTATGGATCGATAAATAGCTGGATAGAAGTATATGATGGATGGATGTACGTATGTACGTATGGACAGACAGACAGAAAGAGCCCTTGGGGTCCCTTCCAACTCTAAGATTCTATCATTGATTGATTGATAGATAGAAATATAGACCAATAAATAGACTGATAGATAGGGATGATGGATAGATAGATAGAAACAAGGTTGGTCTGGATGGTCCTTGGGGTCGCTTCTAACTCCTAAAAGTCTGTGATTGATACATAGATGGATGGATGGACGGAGGGACAGACAGACAGAGCCCTTGGCGTCCCTTCCAACTCTCAGATTCTGTGATTGATTGATTGAAATATAGATGAATAGATAGACTGATAAATAGATAGAGATGATGGATAGATAAACAGAGAGATAAATTCATCCCTGAGCCTGGAGCCCCAGGTCTCGGCGGTGGCCAGGGGAGCGTTCACACCATTACAACTTGTGCGCCAGCTGCGCCCGTACCTTGGGAAGTCAGACTTGGCCACGGTGGTCCACGCTCTCGTTACATCTAGGATAGACTACTGCAATGCACTCTACGTGGGGTTGCCTTTGAAGACTGCTCGGAAGCTTCAAATAGTCCAACGAGAGGCAGCCAGGTTAATAACGGGGACGGCATACAGGGAGAATACAACTCCCATGTTACGCCAGCTCCACTGGCTGCCAGTTTGCAACCGGGCACAATTCAAAGTGCTGGCTTTGGCCTAGAAATCCCTAAATGGCCCCGGCCCAAATTACCTGTCCAAACACATCTCCCTCTATGTACCATCGTGGAGATTAAGATCCTCCGGGGAGGCCCTGCTTTCCATCCCATCATTGTCACAGGGACAAGAGACAGGGCCTTCTCGGTGGTGGCCCCCCGTTATGGAACTCCCTTCCTGGTGAGATCAGACCGGCCCCCTCCCTCCTGTCCTTCAGAAGGAGGGTCAAAACTTGGCTGTGGGACCAAGCTTTCAGGCCCTTGGGGTCCCTTCCAACTCTTTTAAGATTCTATGACAGATAGATAGATAGACAGACGGCTGAATAGATAGAGAGGATAGACGAACAGATAGACGAATAGATCAATACCTGGAGAGAAACAAGGTTGGTTTGGATGGCTCTTGGGGTCCCTTCCAAAAATCCTAGAATTCTATGATGGATGGATGGATGGATGGATGGACAGTCAGACAGAGCCCTTGGGGTCCCTTCCAACTCTAAGATTCAATGACTGATTGATTGAAATATAGATGAATAGACTGATAGATAAATAGACAGATAGAGATGATGGATAGATAAACAGATAAGTAAATAGCTGGCTGGCTGGCTAAGTAGGTAGGTAGGTAGGAACAAGGTTGGTCTGGGTGGTCCGTGGGGTCTCTTTTAACTACTAAAAGTCTGTGATTGATGGATGGACGGACAGATGGACAGACATAGATACCCCTTGGGGTCCCAATTCTAAGATTCTAGATAGACGAATAGAGATGATAGATAGATGTATAGATAAATAGCTGGATGGATAGATGGATGGATGGGTAGGTAGGTAGGTAGGTAGATAGATAGTTGGTCTGGATGGTCCTTGGGATCTCTTCTAACTCCTAAAAGTCTATGATGGATGGACGGATGGATGGACGGACAGACATAGATACTCCTTGGGGTCATTGTATAGCTAGATTAAGTATGCAGGTAGATATGGGGATGATTGGATGGATGGATGGATGGATGGATGGATGGATGGATAGATAGATAGATAGATAGATAGATAGATAGATAGATAGATAGATAGATAGCTGAATACATAAAGATGATCAATGAATGGATGGATGGATATATTAACAAGGTTGTTCTAGATGGTCCTTGGGGTCGCTTCTAACTCCTAAAAGTCTATGATTGATGGACGGATGGATGGACGGACAGAGTCCCTCCCAATTCTAAGATTCTATGATGAATAGATAGATAGATGAATAGACTGCTGAATAGAGATGATAGATGTATAGATAAATGGCTGGGTAGATAGATAGATAGATAGATAGATAGATAGATAGATAGATAAATAGATAGATAGATAGATAGTTGGTTGGTCTGGATGGTCTTTGGGATCGCTTCTAACTCCTAAAAGTCTATGATTGATGGACAGATGGACAGACATAGATACTCCTTGGGGTACCTTCCAATTCTAAGATTCTGTGATGAATAGATAGATAGATAGATAGATAGATAGATAGATGAATAGAGATGATAGATGTATAGATAAATAGCTGGATGGATGGATGGATGGATAGATAGATGAGAGATGGATGAGATAGATAGATAGATAGATAGATAGATAGATAGATAGATAGATAGATAGATAGATAGAAACAAGATTGATCTGGATGGTCCTTGGGGTCACTTCTAACTCCTAAAAGTCTAGGATAGATGGATGGACGGATGGACAGACATAGATACCCCTTGGGGTCTCTTCCAACTCTTAACATTCTATGATGAATAGATCAGATAGATAGATAGATAGATAGATAGATAGATAGATAGATAGATGGATGGATGGATGGATGGATGGATGGATGGATGGATGGATGGATGGATGGATGGATGGATAGACAGACGAGATGATAGATAGATGTATAGATCAATAGCTGGATAGAGAAATAGATACAAGGTTGGTCTGAATGGTGTCCTTTCCAATTCCTAAAAGTTTATAATAGATAGATAGATAGATAGATAGATAGATAGATATAATAATAATAATAATAATAATAATAACAACAACAACAACAAATGACAGATGTATGATAGACCGATAGATAACTAGATATAGATGGTGATTATTATTATTATTGCCAAGGGATGATTTCCTTTTCTTAATCAACTGCAACTCAATCAATAAATTGTGCAAATTGGACAAAAGCTGGATGGCCATCTGCCGGGAGGGCTTTGACTGTGTCTTCCTGCCTGGGGGACTCTTCCAAATCTCATAATCATAGAGACTGCCAAGGGCCAGTTTTGGGGAAACCTCTTCTTAAAGGTGCGGAGCGGTTTTGCCCGGGGAATGATCCGTATTTGCAGAGAGACGTCACACCAAGGAAGTTCTTTGCATAGTTTCGCATCTTTAGTCACTCCTGAGCGACAATAGGGAAGAAAAAATACCTCTCCCAGGTGTGTCGTATTTTCCCTTCCTTCCAGGAATGGCATTTCTGCTTGCGATATTTTGGGTGGTTGTGTGCAACGCCAGGAGATACGCTGATCTTCCTGGCCCTGAATGAATGGATTGGGACAAAGATACTGTTATTATTATTATTATTATTATTATTATTATTATTATTCTTTAGAGTTGAACGTTTTTGCCGTTTAATGTTTTTATGATCAAACCAATTAGGAAATAATTAAGAACAAAAATTGTGTTACATAGTTGTGGTTGTAATAATAATAATAATAATAATAATATGTAAATATAATAATAATAATAATAATAATAATAATAATAATAATAATAGTATGGAAAGGTAAAGGCTTCCCCCTGACATGAAGTTTAGTCTGACTCTGGGACTCATCTCTAAGCCAAAGAGCCGGCATTGTCCATAGACACTTCCTAGGTCATGTGGCCTGCATGACTGCATACAGTGCTGTTACCTTCCTGCCAGAGCGGTACCTATTGATCTACTCACATTTGCATGCTTTCAAACTGTTAGGTTGGCAGAAGCTGGGGCTGACAGCAGGAGCTTACGCCGCTCCCTGGATTCGAGCCCATGACCTTTCGATCAGCAAGTTCAGCAGCTCAGCGGTTTAACCTGCTGCGCCACCGGGGGCTCCAATAATAATAAAGTAAAATAATATAAATGTAATAATAATAATTAATAGAGAAAAATGATAAACGTAATAATTTATTTATTTATTTTTATTTGTCGTGTCAGGTCAACCAGTCAAATTATATTACATTGTATTATATTATATTATATTATATTATATTATATTATATTAAATGTAATAATAATAGTAACTCAGTAAAATAATAAATAATAAAGTAAAATAATAAATGCAATAATAATAGAGAAAAATAATAAAGGTAATAAAATAATTTTATATTATTATCTTCTATTATTTCATGCATTATTATGGTATTTTATTATTGTATATTATTATCTTACCTTATATTAGTATTTTTTAAATCTTATTTTATACATTATTATTTTAATTTTATCTTATTTTATGCATTATTATTTTATTTTTATTTTATGCATTGTTAGTATTATTATATGTTTTATATTATCTTACATTATTTTATAAATGAATATTATTTTATATTATTATCTTATGTATGATTATAGAAAAAATTGAGAAATGACACCCAGCAACAAAAATTGTGTTACGTTGGCTGCTTTGAACTGGATTATATGGCAGTGTATCAACGTTCAAAGTTAATATGGATTATCTGCTTTGGTAATCTGGATTTTATGGTAGTGTAGGAAATGTTTGCTCTTTGCCCAGTGTTGGACTGATTGCAGTGAGTCAAAATAGCCACTCGTGTGGTGGGATCCGTGGGTTGCGTTCCCCAACGACTCCTCCTCCGGGCACCTTGTGTGTGTGTGTGTGTGTGTGTGTGTGTGTGTTGTTGCCTCCTTCTCTGAGCGCGCTCTGTGTCTCTTTCCTTGCAGAAGCCGGCGTCACAGACCGGGGCCTCCCTTCTTGGCTGAGACCTTGCCGAGGCCGGCACCTCCCACTGCACAGCCCTGCACACAACCAACTCTGTCCAAGGAGGCCGGCGGGTGCAAACCAGTGCCGCGGCATTGCTGGCATTCCTTTCCAGATGCCGAGGAGGATGAGTCGAAGGTTTCGGAGGAAGGCCCACTAGATACGGGGACACAGCGTCCAGACGTCTCCGGTGCCCGAAGCCGGAGGAGGGAAGGAGGAAAGTTAACATTTAACAGCGTTCCAGAAGACAACGTCGTGGGCTTGCTTTCACACGTGGCTTCGTCCACGTCCTTGGAAGCGGTGCTACCTTCTTGACCACGAGTCTCAGGTGAGTTTTGGCTTGGCTGGTATTTAAAATTTATCGTGTCAGGAGTGAATCAAAACAGTTGTATTGCATTAAAAAACAGACAAACAAACAAAAAACAAAACAAATGGGAACGTCTTGGGAACGAAGCTTCGGAAAATGTGTGTTTGTTGCTATTTTGTGCTCTCATATCAGGGCTGGACTGGGCAAGGACACAAGTGTCCCCAAACTCTTGGAAATTTGGGAGAGAGGAAGATAATAATAATAATAATAACCAGTGTTTATATTTGGGCGTATTGAGTGTTCATGCCAAGTTTGGTCCAGATCCATCATTGTTTGAGTCCACAGTGCTCTCTGGATGGAGGTGAACTACAACTCCCAAATGCCCACCAAACCCTTCCAGTCTTTTCTGTTTGTCGTGGGAGTTCTGTGTGCCAAGTTTGGTTCAATTCCATCGTTGGTGGAGTTCAGAATGCTCTTTGATTGTAGATGAACTATAAATCCCAGCCACTACAACTCCCAAATGACAAAATCATAATTTTTTGAGTGATGGTCACTCCTTGTGTTGTGAGACGTTTTGTTGCCAAATTTGGTGTGATTTCGTTCATGGGTTCATTATGCACAGAACATTTTTATATAGATAGATTACATGTAATATTACTAATAATCTATATAAATAAAAATGTAACGTTCGTTTGTGGGATTAACAGAATTCAAAAACCACTGGGGGAATTGACACCAAATTTGGACACAAGACACCTAACAGTCCAATTTATGTCCTCCACTCAAAAAACAAAAAAACCAAAAAACTATTTTGTCATTTGGGAGTTGTGGTTGCTGGGATTTATAGTTCACCTACAATCAAAGAGCATTCTGAACTCCAGCAATGATGGAATTTGGCCAAACTTAGCACACAGGGCTCCCATGACCAACAGAAAAAAATGGAAAGGTTTGGGGGGACATTGACCTTGAGTTTGGGAATTATAGTTTACCCACATCCAGAGAGCACTGTGGACTCAAACAATGATGGATCTGGACCAAACTTGGCACAAATATTCCATATGCCCAAATATGAACACAGATGGAGTTTAAGGGAAATAGACCTTGACATTTGGGATTTGTAGTTACTGGGATTTATAGTTCAGCCACAATCAAAGAGCATTCTGAACTCAACCAATGATTGAATTGAACCAAACTTGGCACACAGAACTCCCTTGACCAACAGAAAATACTGGAAGGATTTGGTGGGCATTGACCTTGAGTTTGGGAGTTGTAGTTCACCCACATCCAGGGAGCACTGTGGACTCAAACAATGATGGATCTGGACCAAACTCTACACGAATATTCAATACGCCCAAATATGAACACAGATGGAGTTTGGGGGAAATAGACCTTGACATTTGGGATTTGTAGTTGCTGAGATTTATAGTTCAGCTACAATCAAAGAACATGCTGAATCCCACCAGTGTCAGAATTGGGGCAAACTTCCCACACAGAACCATCACGACCAACAGAAAATACTTAAGGCTATCCTGTCCAACTCCCTTCAGCAGGGCAAGAAAACGTAAACAAAGCCCTCCTAGATATGATTCACAGGCAGAGAGATATAGTATCATAAATTCGACAGGGACCCCTAAAGAAGGACAATTATATATTGCATGTTCCAGAGTATGCAAAGCAGACACTCTCCACATCCACACTGACAAAGAAACAACAAGGAATACTGTGTTTACCCATAAGCAGAAAGAAATTACATAGATTAGAAACCCAACACTTTCTCATTACTTTATTTTCCAGATCACAAGACTGGGCCACAGCAACGCCTGGCAGGGGACAGCTAGTAAATAATAATAATAATAATAATAATAATAATAATAATAATAATAATAAATTCCTTCGATCTTTCCGAGAATAATCCCGTTCTGAAATACGGTGAGAGGGAATATAGGGAGCATTTCCACAGTTAAAACGTGTGCACTAGCTGCGCCTGTACCTTGGGAAGTCTGACTTGGCCACGGTAGTCCACGCTCTGGTTACATCCCATATAGACTGCTGCAATGCTCTCTACATGGGGCTGCCTTTGAAGACTGTCCAGAAGCTTCAACTAGTCCAACGAATGGCAGCCAGGTTGCTAACAGGAGTGGCACTCAGGGAGCACACAACCCCCTTGTTGCGCCAGCTCCACTGGCTGCCAGTTTGCTACCGGGCCCAAGTGCTGGCTTTGACCTAGAAAGCCCTAAATGGTTCTGGCCCAACTTACCTGTCCGAATGTATCTCCCCTTACGAACCATCGTCTGGGGAGGCCCTGCTCTCGGTCCCGCCTTTGTCACAAGCACGTTAGGCGGGGACGAGAGACAGGGCCTTCTCACTGGTGGCTCCTTGGCTATGGAACGCCCTCCCTAGGGAAATCAGATCAGCTCCCTCCCTCTTGACATTTCAGAGGCAAGTTGAAACATGGCTGTTCAAGCAAGCGTTCACAAAAGCAGAGTAGCTAATATAGGAAATTGAACGATTTGACAATGGAACTGTGCAGTGCTTGATAATAATGAGACACTATTGATGTTGTTTTTATGGTTTTTGTGGTGTTTTATATTGTTTAATGTTTTGATCTGTATTATGTTTTTATATGTACTACTAGCCATCCCCTGCCACGCATTGCTGTGGCCCACATGGGGGTTCTGTGTGGGAGGTTTGGCCCAATTCTATTGTTGGTGGGGTTCAGAATACTCTGTGAGTGTAGGTGAACTATAAATCCCAGCAACTACAACTCCCAAATGTCAAGATTCTAATCCTCAGCAATTATAAGATCTATCAACGAAAAGGTTGCAAGCTTGAAGCCCCGGGTCAGCATGAGCTGCCAATGGTCAGCCTAGCTCATTGTTTACCTAAGTAATTCGAAAACAGCTAAAGCTGTTCCCAGTGACTACAACTTGTCAAGGTCTATTTCCCCCAAACTCCACCAGAATTCACATTTGGGCATATTGAGTATTCGTGTAGAGTTTGGTCCAGATCCATCATTGTTTGAGTCCACAGTGTTCTCTGGATGTAGGTGAACTACAACTCCCAAACTCAACGTCAATGCCCACCAAACCCTTGTAGTGTTTTCCGTTGGTCATGGGAGAACTGTCTGCCAAGTTTGGTTCAATTCAATCGTAGGTGGGGTTCGGAATGCTCTTTGATTGTAGGTGAACTATAAATCCCAGCAACTACAACTCCCAAATGACAAAATCATTTTTTTGAGTGAAGGACATACATTGGGTTGTTAGGTGTCTTGTGTCCAAATTTGGTGTCAATTTGTCCAGTGGTTTTTGAGTTCTGTTAATCCCACAAACGAACATGACATTTTTATTTATATAGATTTATTTATTTATCGTGTCATCAGCAACCAGAACATTGTATGACATTTCTAACAGAACAAAACAAACAAACAGATAGAAAAACCCACAAATTTTGCGAGCTTGGTAGTTGATTAAATGTCCTTTGACCAGTATCTGACCACTTGGAGTGCCTCCATTGTGCATGTGGCACATTGCAGCAGGTGGTCAGTGGTATGCTCTTCTCCACACATGTTGCATGTCGAGGATTCCACTTTGTGGCCCCATTTCTTGAGGTTGGCTCTGCATCTCGTGGTGCCAGAGAGCAGTCTGTTCAGCGCCTTCCAAGTTGCCCAGTCTTCTTCTGTGTGCCCAAGAGGGAGTCTCTCATTTGGTATCAGCCAGGTTCTGGGTTTGAGCCTGCCACTTTTGGACTCTCGCTTGCTGAGGTGTTCCAGCGAGTGTCTCTGTAGATCTTAGAAAACTATTTCTTGATTTAAGTCGTTGACGTGCTGGCTGATACCCAAACAAGGGATGAGCTGGAGATGTCTCTGCCTTGGTCCTTTCACTATTGGCTGCTACTCCCGGCGGATGTCAGGTGGTGCAATACCGGCTAAGCAGTGTAATTTCTCCAGTGGTGTAGGGCGCAGACACCCTGTGATAATGCGGCATGTCTCATTAAGAGCCACATCCACTGTTTTAGTGTGGTGAGATGTGTTCCACACTGGGCATGCATACTCAGCAGCAGAGTAGCATAGCGCAAGGGCAGATGTCTTCACTGTGTCTGGTTGTGATCCCCAGGTTGTGCCAGTCAGCTTTCGTATGATATTGTTTCTAGCACCCACCTTTTGCTTGATGTTCAGGCAGTGCTTCTTGTAGGTTAGGGCACGATCCAGGGGGACTCCCAGATATTTGGATGCACTGCAATGCTCCTGTGGGATTCCTTCCCAGGTAATAATCCTCAGAGCTCGGGATGCTTGTCTGTTCTTAAGGTGAAAAGCACATGCCTGTGTTTTAGATGGGTTGGGGATCAGCTGGTTTTCCCTGTAATAGGCAGTAAGAGCACCTAGAGCTTCAGAGAGCTTCTGTTCAACCATCTCAAAGCTCCCTGCTTGGGCGGTGATGGCATGATCATCAGCATAGATGAAACTCTCTGTCCCTTCTGGCAGTGGCTGGTCATTTGTGTAGATGTTGAACATGGATGGAGCAAGCACGCTCCCCTGAGGCAGGCCGTTCTTCTGTTTCCGCCATCTGCTTCTCTGGCCCTGGAACTCAACAAAAAAGCTCCTGTTTTGTAGCAGGTTTCCTATGAGGCGGGTGAGGTGGTCGTCCTTTGTGATATTATATATATGATATATGGTTAGGGATCAGCTGGTTTTCCCTGTAATAGGCAGTAAGAGCACCTAGAGCTTCGGAGAGCTTCTGTTCAACCATCTCAAAGCTCCCTGCTTGAGCGGTGATGGCACGATCATCGCATAGATGAAACTCTCTGTCCCTTCTGGCAGTGGCTGGTCATTTGTGTAGATGTTGAACATGGATGGAGCAAGCACGCTCCCCTGAGGCAGGCCGTTCTTCTGTTTCCGCCATCTGCTTCTCTGGCCCTGGAACTCAACAAAAAAGCTCCTGTTCTGTAGCTGATTTCCTTGAGTGGTGATGGCACGATCATCAGCATAGATGAAGCTCTCTGTCCCTTCTGGCAGTGGCTGGTCA